GCCATCATATTTTCAATCGGCTCTTGTGTACGCAAAAGGTGGACTGTATATAAGGAAGACTGAAGAAGAGTTGCTGCCTTTAAATTATGATGTTGGTGATGAATATTTAATATACCATGGAGTGCCAGAAGAATGAACAAGTCTGTCTTGCAAGAAGTACAGCCAGAGTGCTCATTCAAAGCAAGGATGCCAAGACTTCATTTTATGTATTTGGACATGTTATCAGGAGGGGCCAGTACCTGGAGAAGGACATCATACTTGGTAAAGTAGAGGGTCAGCAAAAAAGAGGAAAACCCTCAATGAGATGAACTGACACAGTGGCTGCAACAATGCATTCAAACACAGCAAGGATTGTGAGGGTGTAACAGTACTGGGCAGTGTTTTGTTCTGTTGTACATAGGGTTGCTATGAGTCAGAACCAACTCATTGGCACCTAACAACAAAGAACAGCTTGTTATTTAGCCCATGTGCCCTCTCTCTGTGAATTGTTTTCTTCACAACACGCACATTAAATTGATAATTTATTAAAGGCATAATGTTAAGAAATTCTTAATGTTAATACAACCCAGTTATGTTGTAAACTAAGATTTTAAATCTTTTCGGTAGTATTAAAATTTAAACTTATAATTTGGAGGTAGTAATACACTTAGATCTAGACAAAAGGAGTCCTTAGGCTGAGTCCCCTCTCTAGAGGCCCTCTGCATTTAATATTCTTGTTGTTAGGTGCCATCGAGTCAATTCTGACTATAGTGACCCTATGTACAACAGAATGAAACACTGCCTGGTCCTGCACCATACTCACAATCATTATGCTTGAACCCATTGTTGCAGTCACTGTGTCAATCCATCTCTCGCTGAGGGTCTTCCTCTTTTTCACTGACCCGCTACTTTACCAAGCATGATGTCCTTCTCCAGGGACTGATACCTGCTGATAATATGTTCACAGTAGGTGAGATGTAGTCTCGGTATCCTTGCTTCCAAGGTGCATTCTGGTTGTACTTCTTCCAAGACAGATTTGTTCCTTCTTTTGGCAGTCCATGGTATATTCTTCACCAATACCACAATTCAAAGGTGTCATTTCTTCTTTGGTCTCCCTTATTCATCATTCAGCTTTCGCATGCATATGAGGAGATTAAAAACACCATGGCTTGGATCAGGCACACCTTTGTCTTCAAGGTGACATCTTTGCTTTTCGACACTTTAAAGAGGTCTTTTGCAGCATTCCAATTCATGAACATGACGTATTTTTTCTAATTATTTAGATCTCCTTAAATTTATTTCAACAATGTTTTGTACTTTTCAATATATGTCTTACACCTCTTTTATTTAATTTATCCCTAAGTATTTTATTGTATTCTTCTTGATGCTTTTCTAAAGGGAATTGTTTCCTTAATTTCAATTTTTTGGGTTGCTTATTGCAAGTATACAAAATTCAATCGATTTTCACACATTGATCTTGTATCCTGCAATGTTGCTGAGAGCATTTACTAGTCCAAATGTCATCTCTCATGTCATCTGCAAATAGATGTAGTTTAACTTCTTCCTTTCCAGTTTGAGTAACTTTTGTTTCTTCTTCTTTTTTTTTCTTTCTTTGCATAATTTCCCTAGTTAGAACTTCCACCACAAGTTGAATAGAAGTAGAAACAGTGGACATCCTTTTTGGTCCTGATCCAAAAGGAAAGCACACAGTCCATTAAGTACCATGTTAGCCATGGGCTTTTCATAGATGCCATTTATAAGGTCGAGGAAAGGGATATACGTAGAGGTGGTAAAACTATTAAGTTAAAATGCACAAAAATAGTTCTGTAGGTCAAAAACAGTGAAATGCTGGCAATTTCATAGGGTTGAACCCAATGTAAGGAATAGCTAAGAAAATGATAAATACAAAATTCAGGATAGTGGTTATTTCTTGGAGAGACGGAGGGTGATTAGATTGGGAGGGTCTCACAGGAGGATTCTAGACGATTGTAAATGTCTACTTTTTCATTTAAGTGGTGAGCATATATGTTTCTATTATATGAATATTCCATAAGAAAAAGTTACATTACACACACTTTTTATGTATGCTATATTTCACAAATATTAAAAAATCTTTTGTGTATCAGATTTTAAATACATTCTAGTATTAAAGATATGATTCCATAATATAAAGCGTATCACTATATCACAAAGGTTTTTTAACCATGCTTTTTCTAGAGGCTTATCCACAGGGTCTGGAGTCAATGGTCCTTGAATGAGGGACAGATAGCTGCAACTTTAACAAAGGCCCAAGGTGCTGCAGGTGGCTAATGCCATCATTGGGTTTGATGGTTAAGATCGTGTGTCAACTTGGCTGGGCCATGATCCTCAGTGTTTATACGTGATCATTCCCATGATTGAATATGCTGTGAGTAGCCAATCAGATGAAAGGGAGTTTCCTTGAGAGTGTGGCCTGAATCTGAATATAAGCAGATGTTTTGGTCTTTTGTTCACTCTGGATCCTGCAGCTGCCTCCTGTCACCTCCGGTTCTTGGGACTTGAGCTGTCAGCTTATCTGCTGAACTTGGGATTTGACGATCTTCACAGCCTGTGAGCAGAGCCCTGCTCTCTGACCTCCCGATCTTGTGTTCACTGGCCCCTGCAACTACGTGAATCAGGAGAAACATTGTGGTCTTGCCTGCTAATCTTGGAATTCATCAACCTTTACAGCCCGTGAGCGGGAGCCCTGCTCTCCAGTCTGCTGATCTGTGGCTGCATGACTTGGGAGAGTTCTTTACCCTGATCCATGGACTTGGGACATTCTAGCCTCTACAATCGCGTGAGCTCTTTCCTTGATATAAATCTCTCTCTATATATATATTTACACACTGTACTGGTTTTGCTTCCCTAGACAACCCAGCCTAAGACATTGGGTGAACCTCTGCCCTAGCAAATACCATGGTTGCCAGTCTGGGAGCTGTCCCCATAAGTGGTGCTGACAATAATGGAACCCAGTGATGACCAGAACAGAAGGCTCTCTGGCACTCAATTTTCCAGGGAGTTATCCATTCTACCACAAATTATCAACTTAGTGAAAAATGATCCACAATAAAAACAAACTTTCCCCTTCCTTCTCTATAGTGTCACATCCAACACCTCCCCTACATGACAGAGTACTTCTAAGACTGCAGTTATTCTCCTATCTCTATTCAAACAAATTTGAATAAATGTGTGGATTTCATCTGAAATGAATAATAAACAACAGAAAGGGTGACACAATGAATAAAGGAAAAAGTCAAAGTCATTGCTAACAAGTAATCAATGAGAAGGAATCAAAGCAAATCAACTGTCAAGGAAACATAATTCACCTTAGTCTACAGACTCAATAATTACGTCTTTGATTATATTAGTAGATTCACTCAGAATGCTGATACATATTTAAATAAAGATAAGCAAAGCTAACCACTAAAACAATTGTTAAAAAATGTGTGAAAGCAAAAGGATTGAAAGGCCCAAGAATAGATGGCTAGATAAGAAATACAATGATACTAGCTAAATTTCATTGAATACTTACTGTGTGCCAGACATTTTGCCTACGGAGTTCCCAACAGTAATTATATTCTCAGTGTCACTCCAAGTGTAATACTTGGACTATCCACAGAGGCATTACCTATGAGCTTGTTAGAACTGCATATTCATGGGTCCACCTCATACTAATCAAAACTGAAACCAAATCCGTTTGCTGTTGATGCAATTCTGTCTCATAGCGACCCTATAGGACAGAGTAGAACTGCACCCATAGGGTTTACAAGGAGCTTCTGTTGGATTCAAACAGCCTGTCTTTTGGTTAACAGCTAAATGCTTAACCACTGAGCAACCAGGGCTCCAAATCGCTGAGGATGGGCCCATAAATCTGTGTATTAACAAGTTCTCCAGTTCTTATACACGTTAAGGTTGGAGAACAGCTGTTCTAGATGATATGTCAAGTCCACTCATAATAATTGCATTCCCCTCCCCAGAGAATAGTTTATGAAGGGGTCTGTATGTTCCAATTCAGGCATATAAGCTGTGAAAGAAAGTCTTCTGAATGATTCATTGGAAAAGTCACTTCTTTATTTAAAAAAAGTCATAGTCAGATTTCTGGGATACAATGCCTGTAAGTGATGCAGCCATCTGGTGACCTCAAGGGAAAACTGTCTTAGCATGCTATCAATCAAATATCACAAAACGAGAGAAAAACAAAGTCAGTTTCTATTTTGCACTACTCTTAGTCACTATGGTATATAACTGTTGTAGCAAAAGAATTGAAAGCAGGAACACAAACAGATACTTGTACAGCAATGTCAACTGCAGCATATTTACAATAGCCATGAGGTGGAAACAGGCTAAATGCCTATCAACAAGCGAGTGGATAAACAAAATGCCATACATATAATAGAATACTACTGGCCTTAAAGAGAAATAGTCCTGATAATCCTACAACATGGATGAAATTTGAAAACATGCTGAGTGAATTATCAGTTACAAAAGGATAATATTATATGATCACACTTATATGAAATATCTAGAATAAGCAAGTGTGTAGAGACCAATGTTTAATAGTGGTTACCAGGGGCAGTGTGTAGGAAAAAAGAAGGGCAGGCTCATTGCTTAGGGACACTGAGTAAAGAGTGTTGGGAAAATTTGAAAATGGCTAGTGGTGATGTTTGAACAACATGAAGAATGTAATTAATGTCACTGAATGGTACATGTAAAAAATGTTGAAATGGAAACGTTTTGTTACATATTTACCAAAATATAAATAAATAAATGCTTTAATATGCCTTGCTAATAAGGTAAAAACTATCACAAGACAGAAGCTTGGGTAAGTAAATAAATATACACATAAGTAAAAAAGTATTTGAATTAATAACATATAAAGCTTTTTACTATCAAAATGTAAAAAAAGAACTTGCTACTAGAAGAGTCTAACATTCTGATTTTCCCAGTTTTCTTTCACTATGACTCATTCTAGAAACCCAAGCCTAAGGCAGATAACACAGTCATGAAAAGGATGTTCTCCATAGGAGTTTCCTCAAGGCACCCTTCATGGCCCTGTTCCTCAGGCTGTAGATAAATGGGTTCATCATTGGAGAGACCACAGTGTACATCACTGAGGCTACTGCTGTCTTCTTGGAAGAATGAGTAACTGCAGAACTAATGTACACCCCCAAACCTGTCCCATAGAATAAGAAAACCACCGATAGGTGAGACCCACAGGTGGAGAAAACTTTATACATTCCACCAGCTGATGGTATTCTCGGAATGGAAGAGACAATTTTAATGTAAGAGAAAATAATCCCAAGGAGAGGAACACCACCCAGTATGCTAGTTAGTAAATATATCAGGATGTTATTGCTGAGGGTATTGGAACAGGCAAGTTTGAAGACCTGAACAAGTTCACAGAAGAAGTGGGGGATTTCCAGGTCTGTGCAGAAGGACAGCTGTAGTATCATCAGACTGTGGAGCAGGGCATCCACCAAACTAATGAACAAGGAAAGTAGAATCAGCAGGCCACAGAGGTGAGAGTTCATGATGACTGTGTACCTCAATGGTTGGCAGATGGCCACATAGCGGTCATAGGCCATTGCTGCAAGGAGAAAATTTTCCAGGCCTGCAAATATCATGACGAAGAAAACCTGGGTGAGGCAGCCTGTGTAAGTGATGGATTTGCTCTGTGTCTGGATGTTCATCAGCATCTTGGGGACCGTTGTGGTGCTGAAACAGATGTCAGTGAAGGACAGGTTGGAGAAGAAAAAGTACATGGGTGTGTGGAGGTGGGAGTCTGAGCTGATGGCCAGGATAATGAACAGATTGCCCAACACAGTGACGAGGTACATGGTCAGGAATAGTCCAAATAGGAAGGGCTGCAGTTCTGAATCTTCTGAGAGACCCAGGAGGAAGAATTCTGCTGCACCAGTTTGGTTTTCTGATGTCATGTGATTGATGAGTCTGATGATGGAAGTGATAGGAAAGAGATCTACAAGGATTGCGTATTTTAGAGAAATTCTCACATCTATATTGTGAAACAAAGTGAATACTACAAATATTTCTCCTCTCTGTCTGTCTCCTTCTCCCTCTTCTTCTCCCTCCACCTCTTTCTCTCCCTTCATCTATCTCTGTCTTATCCTCCCTACCTTCCTCCCTCCTTCTGCTTTCTCTCTGTTCTTCTCTCTCCTCCATTACCATATCTCCCCCAAAATTTCAACCTGAATAAAGACCCAGGTAGTCTCCTTGATTTTCTTGTTACTGTTAAGTCAAATCAGACTCATAGTGACCCTACAGGACAGAGTAGAACTGCCCTCTAGGATTTCCAAGGAGTGGCTAGTGGATTTGAACTGCTGACCTTTTGGTTAGCAGCCTAGCTCTTAAACACCAGGGCTCCTTACTTTAAAAGTGATCAACTCTCTCACCACATAGGTAGTATCCATGTATTTATTGAATATTTACTCTTTATCCATATTGTGCCAAGTAATAGAAATAAAAGAGAAAAAAATACATGGCTTTTTTCTTGGGAATTTCCCCAAGCCTTCGAACTAGCAGAAAAACAAACTCTACATCTCTGTTTTAGAGCAATGGTTCTCAAATTGCTTTTCATCAGAATCAGCTGGAGGTTTGTTGAGCTCCATGGTCAGAGTATTGGATTCAGAATTTGGGGTCTAAGGCTCCAAAATTATTCTTTCTAACAAATTCCCGAATGCTATTGCTTCTGTTCTGGGACCACAATTTGAGGGCCACTGTTCTAGAATATCAACCATTGTGGCTCATGTACAATCAACTCATCTGCAGAGAGGAACAAACTTGGTGCACTTCTTAAGGAGATGGGCACCTGGCTCACCAGGCTCTGCAGAGGGAGCTGGGGAGGAGTTCAAGCCCAAGACTCAATCAAGCTCCTTCATTTTCATTTGTTCCTCAACATTTGTCCTTTCAATTTTCTATTTCCAATTAAATGTTCTATCATTTAGATTCTTATTCCTTATTATTATTGCTCTATTTAATAGTAGTATTATCAGAATTTATTATAATAAATATCATAATTGTTAAAAACTGCTGCCATTACCACCACTAACACTTACTGAGCTCTATTTCCAGATGGTTTTCAGGATTTTCTATGTTGACTATATATTTATTCTCACAACACACATATGAATTAGGTGCTTCTATTATCCCACATTTTACCCATGACCTCGAGTAAAGGTAAAGGAGAAGGAAGGTGAAGTTACAAAGTACATGGCACTCTGGAAAGAGGTAGTAACAGGATTTGAACTGAGGCTGTGAGACCTTGGAGCTGATATCATACCAACATGTGATACAAGCTCTGAGTAGGGGAGGACCAGGCATCCTGAAGAATCAACAGATTGTATCACTTGCCTCTTGAAAAGTTCCATCTGAATTAAAACCCAAGTGCTTTTCCTGGTATTCAAGGTCATCTAAACTCCGACCACATAGGTAGTGACAGCATCAAAACAGGACCTACACTCAGGACATGAGGTCAAGATAGAATGTTTTACTGGAAACTTTAAGCTGTTAATCTGTTATGTCAGTGAGACTCACTTTTCTTCTAATTATTTGAAGATTGAAACATTATTCTCTTAAAGTGATATATACCCATTGCCATCGAGTCTATTCCAACTCATAGCATCTGCACAGAACAGAGCGGCATTGCCACATAAAGTTTCCAAGGCTGAAATCTTTGCAGAAGCAGACTGCCACATCATTCTCCCACGGAGCAGCTGGTAGGTTGGAACCACTAACATTTCCGATAGCCGCTGAGCGCTTAATCACTGCACCACCAGGGCACCAAGGTGATATGTAGCACATCTGTTTTCCCCCAAAACAGAAGAATGGGAAGAAAGAGGAAATGCATGGGTCTTCAAAAACTGGAGGAAAAAAGTAATAATTTATTAGTGCATCCTAAGCAGAATCCTGACATCTTTGCTTTTTAACACTTTAAAGATGTCTTTGGCAGCAGATTTGCCCAATGCAATAGTCATCTGATTTCCTGACTGCTGCTTCCATGGACATTGTGGATCCCAGTAAAATGAAATCCTTGACAACTTCAATATTTTCTCCATTTATCATGATGTTGCTTATTGTTACAGTTGTGAGGATTTCCATTTTCTTTATGTTGAGGTGTAATTTATACTGAAGGCTATATTCTTTGATCTTCATCAGTAAGTGCTTGAAGGTCTCTTCCTATTCAGCAGGCAAAGTTTTGTCATCTGCACATTGCAGATTGTTAATGGATCTTCCTCCAATCCTGATGCCCGTTCTTCTCCATAAAGTTCAGCTTCTCAGATTATTTCCTCAACATACAGATTGAATAAGCACGGTGGAAAGATACAACGGTGAAGCACACTATCCTGATTTTAAACCATGCTATATCCCCTTGTTCTGTTTGAACGACTGCCTCTCATTCTATGTACAGGTTATGCATGAGCACTCTTAAGTGTTCTGGAATTCCCATTCTTGGCAATGTTATCCATAATTTGTTATGATCTACACAATTGAATGTCTTTGCATAGTAAATAAAACACAGGTAAACATCTTTCTGGATTCTCTGCTTCTAGCCAATATCCATCTGACATCTGCAATGATATCCCTCGTTTCACATCTTCTCCCTCATTCCACATCCTCGTCTGAATCCTGCTTGAATTTATGGCATTTCCTTGTTGCACTGCTGCAACCATTTTTGAATTATCTTCAGCAAAATTTTACTTACTTGTGACATTAATGAAATTGTTCAATAATTTCTGATTTCTGTTGGATCACCTTTCTTTGCAACAGGCACAAATATGGATTTCTTCTAGTTAGTTGTCCAGGGAGCTGTCTTCCAAATTTCTTAGCATAGATGAGCAACCGCTTTCAGCATTGAATCTGTTCGTTGTAACATCTCAATTGGTATTCCATCAGTTCCTGGAGCCTTATCTTTCATCAATGACTTCAGTACAGCTTGGACTTCTTCCTTCAGTACCACTGGTTCTTCATCATATGCTACCTCCTGAAATGATTGAAAGTCAATCAATTCTTTTTGGTATAGTGACTGTGTAATCCTTCCACCTTCTTTTGATACTTCCTGTGCTGTTCAATATTTTGCCCATAGAACACTTCAGAATTGCAACGCAAGGTTTGAATTCTTTCTTCAGTTATTTCAGCTTGAAAATGCCAAGCATGTTCTTCCTTTTCGGTTTTATAACTCCAAGTCTTTGCACATGTCTTTAGAATAATTTGTCTTCTCCAGCTGCCCTTTGAAATCTTCTGTTCAGCTCTTTTACTTCAACATTTCTTCCATTTGCTTTAGCTGCTCTTAGTTCAAGAGCAAGATTCAGAGTCTTCTGATGTCCATTTTGGTCTTTTCTTTCTTTCCTGTCTTTTTAGTGACCTTTAACCTTCTTCATGTATGATGTCCTTGATGTCATCCACAACTTGTCTTGTGTTCAGTCATTAGTGTTTAAAGTCTTAAAAAGGAAAGATGTCACTTTGAGGACTAAGATATACTTGACTCAAGCCATGGTATTTTCAATCATCTCATATGTATGTGAAAGCTGGAAATGAATATGGAAGATTGAAGAAGAATTGATGCATTTGAATTACGGTGTTGGTAAAGAATACTAATTATACCATGGACTTTCGGAAGAACAAACAAATCTGTCTTGGAGGGAATACAGTTAGAATTCTCTTTCGAAGTGAGGTAGGTGAGACTTTGTCTCATGTACTTTGAACAAGCTATCTCCAGTCCCTGGAGAAGGACATCATTCTTGGTAAAGTAGAGGGTCAGTGAAAAAGAGGAAGACCCTCAATGAGATGGATTAACACAGTGGTTACTACAATGGGCTCAAACATAACAATAATCATGACGGTGGCTTAAGACTGGGCAGTGTTTTCTTCTGCTGTACATAGTGTTGCTTTGAGTCAGAACTGACTCACTAACACCTAACAACAATAACAACAAGCATAACTGCAAATGAGAAAGACACACTCTACCAATACAAACATCTGGAATGCTTATCGGAGGGTCTGAATGGTAGTAGAAAAAGGAGGAAGATTGCCAAGTCAGCCTTAAAGGAGGAAAAAGACACTGAGAAAAGGATAACTGGACATATCAAACATTTATATATTGTGAGACTTAAAAAATTCAATCCATACAAATTACTTAGAAAGGAGCCTGGCATCTGGTGAGAGTGAAGTACTATTTACAAGTATCATGATAATTGAATAAGATAATGGAACTTATTTTTTAGTAATTCCTTACCTTCCCAAACGCAGCAATGCATGAAATAAACTCATATACACTCTTTTCTGTTTAAATGCCACTCACATTTTTACATGTAAATCAGTGGAAAAAGAAACAATAGAATTTCAAATTTCAAATGGAATAGAATTCATTATTAATCTCTATTAATAGATTATTACTTCTAGATTTATTTTCCCGTTCCTTTCCTCTCTTCCCAGATAGTCCACTGTGATCCGTCCCTCTCTTCCTCTCTCCCTTTTTATGCCAGATGATTCAAATAATCCCTGGCTGCTTAGTAGCTTCCTCCATTCCCTCTTCCTTTTATGCTTTGACTCATAGTCTCCATGGTATAATTAACAGATGTTAGAAAAAGAAATATTGAAAATCAATCATGGAATTTTGAATCTTCTATCCTTCTGCTTCTGGCTGGCACCCTTCAAACCTGTGTCAGGAAGCATGGGCACTGGCTCTTATGAGAATCCTGACCTTGTGTACCAAGATTGACTCCAGGACATTTTTGTTTCCTATGTTAAGATGAGACCCTTGAGACTATCTGGATCCCTAAAACCAGGTAACAGTTGATTGACTACATTCTCAAAGAATTTCCCCATTATACTTATGAACCAATGCTTTAGAAAAAGTCAGTGAAAGTGTCTATTTCCAGAATGTACAACTCATTAGAATCCTTATTTTTTAATCTTAATGACACTAGGCAAACAAACTCTGCTCCCCCAACACAAACATCCAGGCTGCTTGACAGGAAACTCTGGCCTTAAGCATGCGGTCATGACAAGTAACCTTAATGTCATAAATCAATTGGTTTAACATTTGGACTCAGACACACCAGACTGTAATCTAGTCTCTAGCACTTGCTTTATCAATAAGTATATTTTTAGAACTCTGAGAATTTTACATCACTTCATTGTATAATGGGAACTATCATAAAACGTAGCAATTTTGCAAGGATGAAAAATGAACAGACAAAAGCGTCAAGCACGGTGTTCAACATATGACACCCTCTCAATATTTTTTGTTGTAATTTGTTCTGCATGGGCACAACCTGATGGTTCATTACAGAAAGGAGTAATTGATGGACCAAAATAAAGGAAGAGTAGAGACAGAAAGAACATCCCTATCAAGATAACTACAAATTTTAAGGAGGAATAGATCAGCTAAAACTACACTGGGACTCTTGCTCATGTAAAAAAGCATGAGGAAGAAAGAACACAAATGATTACGAATGATATCAATGTTCATTCATAATGACATATTATAAAGTATATAGCAATTAAAATGAATAAATTAGACCTAGATGTAACAGCACAAGTAATGAAAACTCAAAAGAGAAAAGTACCTTGTCTAAAATGACATCTATAGTAAGGGAAAATTTAAATAAGTTTTAAAATGACGTAGATAAAAATTTACATTTTTTATTATGCAACATTTCAAGCATATTGAGACGTACAGAGAAAAACAATAAAAGCCTGGTTTTTCACCACTCTTCACCATCAAATTAAAATCTACGTTACTGAACAATTTGTGTAGAAATTATTGAATGGTAACCTAACCTGCTGTGTAAATCCTCACCAAAAACACAATAAAATATTATTTAAAAATATATATATCACCATGCTTCCATAGGGTATTTTTTTAATAAAATAATGCATACTTATTTGAAATACTCCTTTATTTTTACACACTGTTAATATTTTTTCATCCCCAAGGGGAACTACAACACAGAACTTGTATGCATTAGTCCCCTGTGTTTTCATTACATTTATTATAATTCTATCCATAAACAATGTTTTTGTCTTGCTTTGATACTTTTATATACTGTAATTACTTCTTAAAAATAATACATTTAATGATTTATATATCTTGGTATACTTTGTTTTGGTTCATTAACTCTAGCTACCATAAGATATTCCACTCTTTGATTGCATCACAATTTATCCTTTCTCCAGCTGATGGTCATTTTCATTGTGGTACACACACACACACACAAACACACACACACACACACATACAGTTTAAAATACATGGGAGACCAACCAAATTCAAAACCGTGGTTGCCTCTTAGGAAGGGAAGAAGGGAAATGGAGGGGAATATAAAGCGTATATCTTTTTTATGCACACTATTTTTTTACTTTAACAAAAGAACTCTAATGGCAAAATGTCAACATTTATTAATTCTGGAAACATTGATACTTGGGTATTTGTCCTATTATTCTGTGCTGTGTTGCCTTTAAAATATTTAACAGAACCCTGGCACACTAAGGATGTAGCTTGTGGAGTGTGCCTGGTTTTCCATCTCCTCTCTGAGTCCTCATATCAGTTATTGGGTCAAGACCAAAGATCTCCCTTACTAAAGGGTGTCAAGACCCAGATACTGATAGATAAGGAGAAGATACCACATGCCCCTGCCCCCTGCCAAATAAATAAATGAAAATTTTAGAGAATTCTAAAACATTCATAAAAATTGAG